GAACAAGGATTAGGCTTTCCCAACAATTGCAGGTACACTATCTCATCTGATTCTCCTAGCAATCCTATGCAGGGCAGGCACTGTTATCCCATGTTAGAGGCAAAGAAAACAAGAACACTGGATTGAATGCCACGGCAAACAGCCATGGAGCCGAGACCACAGGTCCAAGTCTTTTGCTTTCTTGGCAAGGGAGAGGCAGAAGAGCAGCGTGGTGGGTAGAAGCAGGGGAAGGAGAGGTGGGGGGCAAGGATCCACTTAGTAGGATTAAGCAGCAAAGCTCCCAGGTCACCCCACTTTCCCCTACCCCCATTCACCTGGAAGATCTTACGCTCTCCCTTCTGCTTCACATACTCCTTGGGCAGGAAGTCCTTCAGGCTACACCAGAAAAGGGAGGGTCAGCATGTGGTGGACAGCATCAGGGGCATGTGGGCCATGAACTGTGGGCCTAGGGGTGTGAGGAAATGTCTAGGCCAGTGCTATCTTTAGGGAGAAGGAAGACAGCAAGGGACCTGAGCCTGGTTGTCTTCTGAGGCAGAATGACTTAGCATGAGCCCTTGAATGGGGCTGTGTCCCTCCCTGCAAGGAAGGGACTGATAGAACTTTAAGTTGGAGGCTCAGTCCCCGAGGGAAAGAGGATCTAGAACACCACTTCAGGGAACCAGATGAGAAAGCACTCTAAAGGGATCATCATAGATTTAGGATGCTGAGAAAGCCACACCAAACTCTATGCATTCCAAGAAATACCAGTGGATGAGGTGTGTAAGAACTTCTAATAGGAAGACCTCTACAAGGAAAATTTTATCCTGTTTTCTTTAGGCTATTCCAACAAAATTTTTCAGAGAATCTCAAAACAGCTACATGCTTGCTTCAGGGGGAAGGGCCAGGGCAGAGACACTGGGCTACATTTGGATTCCACACGGGGCCAGTGCAGAGACAAATGGATGACGGCAGCTAAGAAGGTCCCCAGGTGGGTCAAACCCTGGCACCCCTCAGAAGAGGAAATGGAGAGGGTGGAGACAGGGATTCCCGGGCCCAGACAGCATATGCGATGTGGGTCACTCACTCAAGGAAGCCAGCTTTGTGCTTCTGCTCATTGTGGGGCCCAAACTGGATCTGGCACTGGAAGCCGGCGAACTCACAGGCCTTGTCGAAGGAGACAGGATGGGAGCCGTTCAAGATGTCATCTCGCGCCTGCAGAGCACAAGGGGATGGGGCGAATGCAGGCTGTGGGTGAAGGGACACCCCCACTGTGCTTCCGCAGCCCCTGCTGCCCCCAGCCAAGCCTCCTCCAGACCTGCACGTAAAGAAGGTTCAGCTGGACAGGGTCGCGAGAATCCACGTTCTGGTCCGAGTAGAAGAACTTCCTCCGCAGCAGCAGCGTCTCGTGCTCCTCCACCCCCTGCTCCCTGAGCGTCCGGCCGTGGTCCAGCCAGTTCACTGGGACACAGACAGGCCTCTCAGTGCTCAACCCATGGCCCCTGGCTGTCCTGTTTACTCCTTCATTTTCCATCTTCCCTCATCTCCCCCTGCCATGGAATTTTATTTATCTGAAAGGCTGAGTGACAGGCAAAGAGAGGGAGGGAGAGAGAGAGAGAGATCTTCCATCTGCTGGTTCACTCCCCAAATGCTTGCAACAGCTGGAGCTGGGCCAGGCCAAAGCCAGGTGCCTGGAACTCCATCTGGGTCTCCCATAAGGGTGGCAGAGACCCAAGTACTTGGGCATCAGGCACTGCGTTCCCAGTTGCATTAGCAAAAACTGGATCGTAAGTGGAGTAGCCAGGACATGAACTGGCACTCTGTTACAGTATGCTGGCAACCCAACTGGCGGCTTAACCCTCTGGGCCACAACGCTAGCATTGCTGTATCCCCAGCGTAACACAGTGCCTTACAAAAGTGGACACTGAATAAATAATCAACAGCTGCCTTTCCAATGCCTCTCCAATGCCCTCTCTTCCGGTTCTGCTTACACTCGTCGTCGGTGTGCAATTTCTGCTTCAGTTTCTCCATCTTCTTTTCATCTCGCAGCAGTGTCTTGTCCTTTCGTAGGGTCCCTGTCACCTCTTCCTTTTTCTCTTCCATCAGTTCTCGGACCAGTGAATACTCGTCATGGTTGGTGATGCCTGGGGGAAGGGGCTGGTTTCATAGCTCCCCAGTCTCCTGGCCAAGTCGCAGCACCCCCGCCCCAGCCCAGCCCCTTACCGATGCGGGCACAGATGGTCATGAGCATGTCGGTGACCGTTTTGGAGTCATCCACCATGATGGTCTTCACAGTCCCGTCTAGCATCCGGATCTTCAGGGGTCTCTGTTTCTTCCTGTACTCCATGGTGTCCTGTCAGGAGAGGAAAGGGGCATTCGTTCCTTTCTACTTGGCCAGAGTGGAGGAAGGAGATTCTTATAAGAAAGACTATGGTGGCTCATTCAAAACCGGGGTCTTATGGCTCCCTATGATAGGAAACTAGCACGAGCGGGGGACAGGGGCGACACGCGGGTGCTGAAAGCCGGAGGCGGTCCCTGCTGAGGTGGTACTCACCCCGTTCCGGAGCATGTAGTAATCCAAAGCCTTTCCGGCCTCCAGCCATATGCCCTTTTTGGGGTCATCATCCGACAGAAACAGCCCGAAGTCGCTGGCTAAAAGAAAAGATGGGTGACCTCAGACTGACGGAGGCCCCACTGGGACTGGATGGCCGCACCACCACCCCTTACAATTTCTCCCGTGGTCTCAGGCCTAAAAAAGGAGGGAGTGGGGCGCAGTGACCCAAGGTGTGAGGAGCCCTCGGCCACAGCGGGGTCACTCCCTAAGGCTGAGGGCCTGGGGATAAGACTGGACTGAGGACTTCCGCACCAGCCCCCCAGGGAGTGGGACTCACGAGGGCCGACCAGCGCCTCCGGGATCCGCTCCCGAATCATGCGGCAGGCGTCGTACACCATGGTAGACGGCTCAAACTGCATCGTCTTCACCACATTCCCGATGCTGATCTTCAGCGAAAGCGCGACCATGGTGGCGGTGTCTCCTCTGCGGCCTGGCTACACCTGGCCCGTGGTGTCAGGCTATTAGAATAGACTCTCCTCGGAGAAGAGGCCCCCAGGTGGTGGAGACTCAGGGATTCACCAGAGCTGACAGTAATAAGGCTGTCTCTATCTTATAATTTTAAAGAGGAAACAGTAATTTACATCAGAAGGACCAGCCCTGACCACTGAAGACCTCCGAGGGAGAGACTGGGACACGAAGTGTAAGGGCAGGTCTGAAACGCGGGGTCACCCGAGGACACCGCCCTGCCCTCTCCAGGGGAATCTGGGCCACCTGTCTTTCTTTCAAGGGCCCATTTTGCCCCCTGACCCTGCTTACTTCCTTTCCCAGCCTGCCCCTGCCTTGTTTTCATGTTTCCCAGTCCAGTATTTTTCTCTTTGCCTCCCCATGGATGCACTGCACCCTCCCTAGTGTGGGATTTTCAGAGCCCTGTCTCAGCTCATCACATGACCTTCCCTCTCACAGCTTCCTTCTCTGCAACATGAAGACGTTATATGAGATCATTCCCAAGGGCTCTGGAGGCCTGCAGACTCTAGCCAGCCTGGCAGCAGACCGAATGCTGGCTGTTCCAGCCATCCAGGCCTTCTCTGGCCCCATCTTCCCTCTAACCTGAATACTGGGGGCCTCCCTAGGGAGCCAGATCCTATATTTGGCTTCCCTGGCAGTCAAGCTAGAATTATGATTCTCTGTTCCAAAGGGATCTCAAAAATTATCTGGTGAACTCTTCAGTTTTGCAGAAGAGGAAACAGATCCTAGGAGGACAGGAAAGACTCGAAGGCAGGTCAGAGAAACAGCCCAGTCCTCTTGTCTCAGTCCCCACTCTCTCCAAGTTACCAAGTTCATATTTAATACTCAGCACAACTCATTCTATGCTCTCTCCTACTCCCTGAGTCCTTTTCAGACTCTGCCCCCCAAGTGAGCTGCCTCCCCTGACAGTATTCTCACTGTAACTCAGGATTACAGCCTTGCCCCGCCTTCTTCCACCCTCCCAGTACCACCCCTTAGCAGGCTGGAGGAGCCACTGGAAGCAGCAGGTGGCGCCCAGGCCACTGAAGGACAAGTCTGCCTGGCTGCTACTGATGTGACCCAGCTTGGTTTATGGGGATTGGATGCTTCTTAATTAACAAAATGAGCAGTTCCAGGCTCCTCCCCATTTTCTTCCTGGCAAAATGCTGGTGTTAAGGAGGGAAAAGCAGGCTAGGAGGTAAGGTCGGAAAGCAGAGGTGAGGTTGTTAGGATACAAAAAGCATTTGGAAATCAGAGAAGCTGTAGAGGCTGCCAGAGATAAGGTTGAAAATCTAGGTAGAAACGAGACAGGAAGCAGAAGAGGGAAAGGTCTGGGGCTGATGGACCATTTCTGACCTTATAAACTGTTCACTCTCAAGAGAGAAGAACAAGCTCACACTCTGTGTTTCCTCATGGACAAGAGCGGCCCCTCCCAGTCTCCATGGTTCTAGCTCTTTGCCCCCCCCCCCCATTCCTGCCGCACCTCTCCCATGAGTGGACAGACCTGGCTGTGGGGTTGCTGCCCACAAAACAGTGAAGGCTGGAGGGTTCAGAGAAGCTGGAGGAGTCCGAGGAGCTGAGAGCAGGACTGAGAGGACCCTGCACCCTGAGCTGAAGTTGCACGTCTCCCCCCACTTCCTCCGGACATATGGACACCCCTTCTTCCTCAAGCACGGAAGCCTCTGGTGAGACCCTGATAAGGGAGCTGAGTCATGCCCACCCTTACTCCCAGGCTGGTGCTGAGTGGACATCCATGCAGCTACGAGAGGGTGCGGGGAGGCAAGGCAACTGGTCAGGGCATGGGGGTAGCAGCGGCAAAGAACAAGGCACTGACAGTACGAGCAAACTCCGCAGTTCCTGCTCTGGCCTGAGAACTCTGCTCCCCTTGCCCTGCTGTTTTATGGAATAGCAACAACAACCCCTCTCCCAGGTCCCCCCTCCCCGGGAACTCCTCCTCCCTCAATACATTCCTGAGATGCATTCCACAGGAGTTGGGCAATTGGGGAGGGGAGGGAATGGAGGACAGGAGGTCAAAGCCTAGCAAGGAATGGAATGTAAGTGTATGGGGGCTAAGGAATTTGGGGTACACAGAAAACACAGCCAGAGCAGATATCCACAAAGGGAACTGCAGAAAGACAAGGAGCTACAGAGAGAGACAAAGACAGGAGAAAGCTGAAGACAGTCAAAACGCACCAGGGTTGGGGGAGTAACACTCAGTCTGTTACCAAATTTGGCCTCTGAGTCCGCAACCGCCGGCAGGGGGAGGGTTTGTGGGTAAGACTGACATATCCGGCCTCGGGCTGCTGGAAGCTCATTTAGGGCTGGACTGGGCAGCTGAAAGCCAGGACCTAACTTCCCCCAGTATAGCCCCTCCACATCTAGACAGCATACTCATTCTCCCAAATGCGCCCCCGCCTTTGCACAGAGCTCTCTGAAAGAGTGGCCTACACTGTGTGCACATGGGTTAGCTTCATCACACAGCCCCTACTCAGATGGGCACCCTGTTCTGAACAGAGTTCCCACAAACACACCTCCATCACCCACGCCCCACACCCCTGGCCCACAACACCCCTTTCCCTAGGATGTAGCCATTCTCCCTTCGTTCACCCCAAAGCATCCACTCCTTTTGGGTCTGTTATAGGGGAGGTGCTGGGCCAATCTTTCAGTGGCTGGGAACCAAGATGAGTAAGACCTCGCCTTTGCCTTCAAGGGGCTTCCCGTTCAGAAGATGAGTGGGTAAGCTAAATACAGAATTACAGCAGAGGGCACGGTGTGCTAAGAACCAAGGGGAGTGTGCTTGGAAGAGAGCTACCTTTAGGTTAGGGAAGGGGGACCAAACATCCCCATGAAACGTGTTATCTGAAGTTAGGATTCTTTTAAAAAAAAAGAGAGAGAGAGTAAAAAATAAGAGTGATCTGTCATTTATTGGCTATACATCAACTGCAATGTATACATGATTTCATTTAATCCTTACAACAACCCTGCAAGGCAGGCATCGTTAGTTGCGGTTTTACAAATTAGGAAACTGTGGCTCAAAGAAGTTAAATACTTGTTCAGAGTACTCGTCCAAATAAGTTGTGAAGTCAGGATCCGAACCCAGGTCTTCCTAACTCCAAAGCCCAAGCTCTCTCCACGACGCCAGCTGGAGATGCGTCAGGGGTAGTAGCACTCCAGGCAGAGAGAATAGCATAAGCAAAGGTGGAGAAACAGGAAATCGTGGAGGAACACTCAGGGAAGTGAGAAGGCACGCTGGCTGAAGCACGGGGCACCTGCAAGGGAGCAGTGGTGGGGAAGGCAGGGTTAGGACGGGAAGGCAGGGGCGGACTACAGAGGAATAGGAGGGATTATACATGGGGCGGGGGCAATAGGCCAGGGAGACTCTAGGCAGCAAAGACACAACCAGGCTGGATTTTAGGAGGGTCATCTGACGACCGCTTTGGAGACTGGTTAATACAAGTAAGAAGTTATGTGGCCAGAGTTAGAGTGGTGGAGAGGAAGGGAGAACTGGCAGGACGTGACGACAGTCTGTTCTGTCAACCCTCAGAGCCACAGCCCAGAATCCTGCTGGGCCCAGAGCTTCCTATCCTCAGCAGCCTCCTAGGAGCTGGGGCGGCTGAGGTTTAGGTAAGGAACTGGGGAGGGGGTAGGGTGGGTCGGGCTGGGCCGGGCAGATGCGGCTATGGGCAAAGGAGATGGAAGCGTGATCAGTAGTTAAGTGAGGGAAGACAGGGTGGGATTAATGACTGCATCGGGTGGAAAGGGGGAAGATGGTGATAGGAAAAATACATGTATGACTGGTCCCTGAATCAGGCTGCAAGAAGGGGAAGGGAAGAGATGATTACATGGGTGGCAGCTAAGTCAGGGAATGACGGCGTGAGGTCAGGGGCCGGCTCAGCTACAGAGGGGTGAGGAGAATTGGGCTGTGTCCGTGGCTAAATTAGGCTGGGGTGTGTGGGAAGTAAAAGCTGGAGCTAGCACAGGAGGGGGCCAGAGGTTGGGTCAGACTGGGTAGGGGATAGTGCTGTGGTCAGTGGCAGGGTCAGGGTGGGAGTGAAATGGGGGTGTGGTCAATGGCCTGGCAAGGCGTGGGATCAGCAAGACCCAGTTTCCTCTTTGGGTCTCATTTCCTCTTTTCTGTTGGGGAGTGGGGGAAGGGGATCTTTAACTGGACCAAGAAATTAGAGGAGGCACACAGCAGGAGCTGGGGGTGGGGTCGTCAGCAGCCAGTAGCACTCAGGTGTGTGAACGGGTGAAAATGGTGGGACCCTGCTTTAAGACAATGGGAGAGCTTAGATTTGGGCAAGTAGGAGGTGTGGGTTAAGAAGCAGGGAGGGAGGCTGAATTGAGAATGGGATGAACAACATGGAAGAATGAAAGGCAGGGAGCTAGTTTCTAAAGGGGCGGGTGCAGGAAGGATGCAACATGCAGAGCTAGGGATGAGAGGTAGAGAGGGGGCTTAACAGCGAAGGAAGGAGGGGAGTGGGAGGCAATGGGACTAAGTCCCGAGGGATTCATTCATCCCCTTCTCTCACACAACGGTGGCCCCTGGTCGGCTTCCCCCTTAGCCACTGCTCTCCTCCTCCCTGGGTGGTCCCCACTGCCTGGGTCCCCGGCCATTGCCCACCTCCCATCTCATACAGAACACAGTCCAGCAATCCCTGCCCCGTAACTGTGGTGGCCACAGCAACAGCATTGAGCTTAGAGAGGAATCGAGGAAATTCTACCTGAAGTCCAGAACCCCAACCCAAAATGTGTCATCTCTCTGGCTGAAAGAAGCTCCTGTGACTAAATAAAAATGAGGGGACTTCCCTCCCCCCCACTCTCTCTTTCTCTCACACACACACACACACACACACACCAAAGGCATCGATCTATTGCCGACCTCTTAAATGTTATCTGCCCAAGGTCAATATTCCTGGCCTGAGTCTGCCCTTAGTGCCCTAATTTGTTTCCTCATTCTCATAGAATCCCCCTCCTAGCAGAGACCAGCAAGCATCCAATCCTTGATCCCTAAGGCTCAACTAATTTTTACCGTTAGCACCAAATCTGCTGACTTTAACCCAAAATGTTGACCCCTAAGTCTAAATTAGCTCACCTGTAACTTGATTCCTAACTCACCTTTTCACTGTTTATCCTTAAAACTGACCACGACAATATCCTATGATCCTTAAAATGGACTTCTAACCTAATTCCTGTTGTTGACCATTAACCTGACCCTGAACTCTTTTAACTCTGACTTACCTCTGGTCATCCCAGGAAACAAAATAACGACCTCAACCTCAACCTCACTTATTTATAAAACGGATCTAAATCACGCCAATAACTCAAGCGTTAACCCCGGCCTTACACCTCCTAAAGAGACCCTTGATTCCCAAACCCAACCCCACCTAAACCCAGACTCATCCACAGCTCTCCAGCCCAACATCCCCGCTATCAGCAAACACCAAAGCCCATCCCCGCCCTGCGCCCCGCGGCCGCCACACTCCTCACCCTTCCCCAAAACCTATTCCAGGCCAAGGACTGCTCCCGCAGAGGAGCCACCTCCCGCAGATCGGCCTGCCGAGACACCCTGGAAGCTGACGTCTCCCCCAGAACCCGCCATAGACGCGCCGCAGTCAGGGGCCGCGCCCGCCCGCCTCCCGGGCCAGACCTCGCGGCCCCACCCCGAGGTTCCGGCCCGGCCCGCCGCGGCCTACCTGCGCTGCCCGGCTCTGCGCCCCGCCCGCCGGCCCTGCTCGTCCTCCGGGCCCGCTCTCCGGCTCCGGCCTCGCCCTCCCTTCGCCACACTCGGCCACTTCCGTCCCCGGCGCGTCCCCCACCCCCGGGCGGCGCCCTGGGCCCGCGCTCTATGGTTTTGGGGACCTGCAGGAAGCTGCTCTGGCCCCAGCTCTCGATGCTCGCGAGCCCGCCGAAGACTGGCAGCCCCTCCCCGGCAGGAAGCCAGGGCGCGGCGCAATCCGGAGAAAACACCCCAGCGGCGCCCGAGTTCCCTGTTACACTCGGACTCTTCCTTTTTTCTAGCTCGGGGCGAAGGCGGAGGCGAGTCGCCGGTGTCCCCGCCCCCGGGGCGGGGACGTCCCCCTCATTTGCATCGCCCCCGGGACGTGGCGCAGCACCCGAGCCACTTCCGGCTCGGAGGGAACTACAAGTCCCGAGAGGCCGCGGGGCCGCGTGCGTCACTTGTGCTGTGTTGGAGGCCGAGGGCGACGGAGTCCGGCGGGTGGGTGGGTCGGGCTTGACAGCGACTGCCGCCCCGGCAGCGGGGAAGGCCAGCCGAAGAGGAGCGGTGGGTAGGCGGGAGAGACCCGGCGGTTGGGCTGGGGGTCGTGCCTGGGGCTCGCGTATTGGAACCGGGCTGCGAAGTGAACCCTTGAGTTTCTGCCGTAGATGTCGCAGATGGAGCTGGCGTTGGACCCTGGCGATCAGGACCTGCTCGGCTTCCTGCTCGAGCAGAGCGGAGCATGGGGGGAGGCAGCCGATGAGTCGGTGGAGGCGCCCCCGGATTGGGAGCTGCCGCTTTCCGAGGTGGGTGGGTAGGGCTCCGCGTCAGGGAGGCGCGGCACGTCCGCGAGACCCGGGTGTCAGTGACAGGCCAGGGCCTGGGAATTTGAACCCGGTGCAGGTACTGAGCGACTGGGAGGCAGAGGATCTGCTGAGCACCCTGCTGAGTCCCCCGGCGTCGTTGGCCGACCTCAGCTCCTGCGAGCCCTCGCCTGTGCACCACGATCACACTTACTCCCTCCCACAGGAGCATGTCTCCGTGGACGTAGGTGAGTGACATCAGAAAAGTTGGGAGCTAGAGGAGAGGGTCCGTGGGCCCGGCTAGTCACAATTGCCCTTTTGCAGATAGTGGGAGCTATGGGAAGGAGGAGGCTCCGATGACTCCGCTGTATGTGGAGGAGCCAACAGAGCAGGTAGCTGACTTGATTTTCAGGAGGCTTATCCCCACATTGCACGGGGCGGGGCGGGGCGGGAATTCCCATTTCTTTCGGACATCCCCATGCAACTGCTGCCTACTTCCCCGTAACCTCAGGAGGTTGCTAGGCTGGTACTGACCGAGGAGGAGAAGAGGCTACTGGAGAAGGAGGGGCTTACTCTGCCTGGAACGCTTCCTCTCACCAAGGTAAGGCTCCCATTGGTGGGGCAAAGGCTGGAGGGTGTAGGGGAGGGAGAGTGCAGAGAGGCTGGTCGACCTGTACCGGAATGCAGTCAGATAGGAGTCACTTCTAACGTTATGCTTGGTAGCAGCTGCATTTCAAAATAGCTAGCAGAGAGGATATTCAGTTTCTGATTCAAAGAAATGATAAATGTCTGCAGTGATACATGTGCCAGTTACCCTGCCCTACTTATTTTTACATTGTATACATTACTTAAATGTCACTCTGTATCCTATAGATGTGTGTAATATCAGTGTCAATTAAAAATAAGATACACTTAAGAGGTGAACATCTTAGCAGAGTTGTTGGTTAATATGCTAGATGCAAGGGTGGATCCTGGTTTTGTGAGGCTTCTAACACATTTTGGTGTTCTAAGAAAAAAGATTTCAGAATTATCAATGCAACATTAGCGTAGGGCCTTGGGCAGGACTGTGCAAGGGAAGGGCTCTGCCACTTGGAGTTCATCGGCTTGGTGGTAATCTACATCGCGCTGAATGGGAGAATTGTTTTAGGGAGTTCAATGAGGCTGGATTAAGCCTTCTCCTGTTTTATACTTTTCTTTTTGACAGGCAGAATGGACAGTGAAAGAGAGAGACAGAGAGAAAGGTCTTCCTTTTGCTGTTGGTTCACCCTCCAATGGCTGCTGGGGCTGGTGCACTGCGCTGATCTGAAGCCAGGAGCCAGGTGCTTCTCCTGGTCTCCCATGGGGTGCAGGGCCCAAGCACTTGGGCCAGCCTCCACTGCAGAGAGCTGCAGGCCATAGCAGAGAGCTGGCCTGGAAGAGGGGCAACCGGGACAGAATCCGGCGCCCCGACTGGGACTAGAACCCGGCGTGCCGGCGCCGCAAGGTGGAGGATTAGCCTAGTGAGCCACGGCGCCGGCCTGGACTAAGCCTTCTAACAGTACAAATGTAGAAGCATAAGTTTTAAGTTTCAACACTGGGTGGTGACTTCACAAGCACAGTATTGTGACCCTGTAATAAAATAAGTACTTATTAAAGAAATTTTAACTTCTTAAAAGTACAAGATGAGTCAGCAGTGAGATATGGCAAAGCAAGTGGGATGTGGAAGCAGCGTCAATACATGCATTGTCTCTAAAAAGGCAAGACTGTCTTGCTGTCTTTTGTACAAATCACAGTGCATTTTAAGTGCCCAGTTTTGGGCCTGTATCTTTGACAGATACCAAGAGGATGCAGTGATGGTGAAATGTTGGGTTAAGAAGTCTGTCCAGGGTTTTTTTGTGTGTGTGTTTTTTTAAACTCTGAGGAAATGCCAACAGCCTTAAAACAGCTATGTAGAATTTTGTTCTACACGACCCCAGAGATAAGTTCAATGGATAGAAATTACATGGAGGCAGATGTTAATTCAGGGTAAGAAATTTTTCAGTGAATGAAATTGTTAAAAATGCTCTGGCACCTGTGATCTTAACACCTGGTCTTTAGAGGCATTCTGATGGAAACCAAAATGGCTACTGGTTAGGGAGGCTAGACAAGGGATTCCTGCGTTGGCAAGAAGGTCGAGCCCATTTGTCTTCCAGCTCCTCAGTCCAAGGTCCCAAGACCCCTTTCTCTGTCTTCTCTCAGATGGAGGAACAAGTTCTGAAACGAGTGCGGCGGAAGATTCGAAACAAAAAGTCTGCTCAGGAGAGCCGCAGGAAGAAGAAGGTGTACGTGGGGGGTTTAGAGAGCAGGTACGGAAAAGACTTGGGTGGGGCAGAAGCAGTGGTTGGTGGTGTTGGGACTTTGAAGGGGGTGATTCGGGCCTGTCCCCACAGCCTTGTTCTTCTCCCAGGGTATCGAAATACACAGCCCAGAATCTGGAGCTCCAGCATAAAGTGCAGCTCCTGGAGGAACAGAATCTGTGAGCAGCCCTCAGGACCCACCCCTCCCTTCCCCTGCCCATCCCCCTCACTACCGCACTGTCTCACCCTCTGGCCTGCGCTACTCTTGAGTTCTTACTGGGAAGCTCCCACATGCAAGGCCCAGCGCTTGGGCTTTACTGGGTGTGATTCCCGGATGCTCACAGCACTGGGGAATAGATGTACAGGTAACGGTGAGAAATACCAAGAACGAGAAGCGGAAAGTCAGGAAGACCTCTTGAGGCAGGTGGTGTTTGTTGTGGTGTTGTTAGGGCTCGGGCATGGGGCTGGGCAGGGAAAGCCCTGTCTTGGGATTTGGCTGGAGCAGCAGCTCAGGTGAGATGGGCCAGGAACACAGGACACAGAGAGTGCCTGGTGAGGGGCCTGTGCAGAGCTGATCGGGTCACCAGGAACTACTGAAGGTCTTCACAAAGGAGATTAAATCAGGGAGTGAGTTTTGGTTTTGCTTTGTGATTTGTTTTAATGAGGAACTTAACGACATTTTGTCCACAGAGAAAGAAGTCATTTAGGATGAAAGCAGGAAGTCAAGTAGCATGAAAAGAGAAGTTCCAGTGACCAGATGGGAGAAGTGGGCTTTATAAGAGGGTTCCAGGCCGTCTCCCGGGGCCAAGCCTGGGAGTGCTCACACCGTCCCGTTTCTCTAGGTCCCTCCTCGATCAGCTGAGGAAACTGCAGGCCCTAGTGATGGAGATATCAAACAAGACCAGCAGCGGCAGCACCTGTGTGCTGGTGAGGACGGCGATGGGAGGAGAGTCTGTTGTCGGGAGGCAGGGACAGAGGTGCAACCCAGAACCCTTCCTCACATCTCTCCCCTGCTCCAGGTCCTGCTGTTCTCCTTCTGCCTCCTCCTCGTTCCTGCTATGTACTCCTCCGACACGAGGGGGCGCCTGCCGGCTGAGCACGCAGGTAAGACACTTAATGCCTTGAAGGCATGGGCCAGGGAGAGGCCTGGCTGGTCCCTGAAGATTCTGTCTCCTCAGTGTTGTCACGTCAGCTTCGTGCCCTCCCCAGTGAGGACTCTCACCAGCTGGACCTGTCTGCCCTGCCGTCAGAGGTACCCAAGGACAACACAAACCAATTGCTGGTCAGCTCAGACCATGTGCTCCCAGCCCCTGGCAACTCTTCCTGCCTGCTGTACTATATGCCTCAGCCTCCTGATGCAGAGCCTCCCCTAACGTGGCCGTTCCCTGGCCTCTTCTCAGAGGCCCCCTGCCCAGACCCTATCCTTCCCCTGCAGGCAAATCTCACGAGAAATGAGGGACAGCTCCCCGCCCACAGCCCGTCATCTGTCATCTTGCAGGGCAGATACTCAGGTTAGATGTGAGGATGGGGAGAGGAGTCTCAGCAAAAACCTGGGCGGTGGGGGGCTGTCGTTCATCTGTGCCCCGGAGAGGGCAGAGGGCTGGCTTCAGCTCCTGCGCCCTGTTTGGGAGCCCAAAGGCTCAAACACACCACACTTACTGGCTTTGTGGGTCTTTTATTTGTGTACCCTTGTGTTTATCACCCCATGAATGGACCTAGGGAAATCAAGTGATGTCCTAGAACATTTCATGCAGAGAGAGAAGGGATGAAAAGAGAAATAAATAAGTGATTGTGATACCTGGATTACCCCGACCCCTCTTTACTGGCACAGTTGGTGGGGAGGGGAGGAGAGAAGGGAAGGGGTCTGATTGTCCTGGTGGCTCAGGGCTGCAGGAGGTTTTGGAGGGAAGGAGGAAAGGCCAGGCTGGAGGCTGGGCTGCAGCACCTCCCTCCCTGGTTCCCAGGGTCTGCTCTGGGCTCAGGTTTACTAAGGCAATTCCTTTGGTCCAGATTTAGCTCCTTTGCTTAGTCCTCTGTCCTGTCCAACTATTTGCCTGGAGGCCTTTTTCTCCTGCTGCTGTTGCAGGGCCAGCTGCATGGCCCAGATGCTCAGTGGCCGCATGTAGGCCAGCGAGCGGAACACGCGCTGCTGGCAGTATGCCTCCGGGGTCTGGAAGGCCAGGCCCAGGCGCTCCCACACAGTTCGGTAGCAGCCTTCAGCTGTCAGGAAGCCCTCCCGAGTCAGGCCCTGTGGGGAGAGATGGCAGTCACACATACACCCTGATGCCCCCCGGAAAGCCGCTTCACCTGGACAGATGGACAGCAGGGCCTGTGCCCTCAGGGAGCTCCCCGCTGTGGGGAGACAGAGTTGACCACAGCAGAAACCTGAAGGCTCGAGCTGGGCTGCATGCCAGGGATGAGGGGAGGGCTTATTAATAGACAGTATGGCCTAAGGTTATGCCCTGAAGAAACCTGGCGGCTGAAGCAGGCACAGACCGTGGAGAGATGGGGAAGGGGGTGTGTTACCTCTTGGATCATGGTGGCTGCTAGCCCGTAGACCACACCCACCCAGACTTCATCAGACTGCACACTGGATCTATCAGGCACACCATGGGGCTGCATCCCATTCACGGCCCCCATTCCCCCTCCTGCGAAGGCCTGGACATTGAGTTCGAAGATCGTTTGGAGCGCGCGGACCACGTGTGGAGTGGGAAACACCTGGGGGCAGGGGTGAGAACCTGGTCTTGCACTTGCTTCCCACCTCCAAGGAAAACCCACCTTTCTCTCGGGCTCCAACTAGCCTCTCACCTCAGTGTCTCCTTCTCCTAGGCCACAGGCCCTCAGGAACCACTGTCCAGCACACTGGTCAGACATGACACTACGAGACTGAGGCTGAGAGCTGCTGTCATAGTTGTAATAGCGACCTGGAGTAGAAGGGCAAAGGACAGCTCTTGGCATCCCCACAGTTGCCCCAAGACTCTCTAGGTTCCCTCAACTCACCGTTCCATAGCAGTCTCTCATAGGCTTCTTGGCCCCGGCGGAGGATGTGAGCAAACTTATTCTGCACGTCCTGGGCCCCACAAAGAGCAGCCACCTGGACCATCACAGCCACCGCTGCCAGCCACAGCCCTCCACAGTAGGCACTGGTCAGGGGCACAGGTTTGGAGGTCAGACTGCACCTCCAGCCACTCCCATGCAAATAGAACACTGAGTGCCCGGTCCCCACCACTGGCCTCCTAGAAACCTCTCCCCGAACCTGGGGCCGGTGGTGACCCATCCATCGTAGGTCTGGTCTGCATAGCCTCCATTCTCAATGAGTCCATCGTGGTCCTTGTCAAACTTCATCTCTGACTCCATCACAGCCTAGAGAGGGACCAAGACACTGCAGACCTAGGTACTAAGGACAGAGAGTAGCCAAACACCAGTAATGCCCCTGGCACACTGGCCACCGTGCACGCATCCCTTACTAGACACACAGGCCACATGTCCTTCAGGAAGCTTTGGTCACCCGTCAGGTAATAGTCCCGGTACACTTGCAACACAAACTTCAGGTTCAGGTCCTTCCAGTCAGCTGTGTCGTGGATCAAGTATGCATTGATCCGGAGCCACGGCTCATCATCTGTGGGAGAGGAGGGGCCCTGGTCCATTTGCATTGGCCGGTAGGGTTGAGGGTGCACAAAAGAAGGAAGGGCAGCTGGCCTCGGGGTGGAGGAGTTCCTACCTGGGTCCCCAACATCATGGGGGATGACATTCTTCCTTTTCACAGGTCCCATCACCCCACTCATCAGGTACCGTCGCCGTGTCAGGTCCTCCTTCAGAGTGGCCAGAGCTGGGGAGCAGATGTACAAGTGAGTGGGGAGAGGCAGGGAACAGACAGAGCTCTGGCTGTGACCCCGAAGGCAGCCAATTAGCAGAATGCAGATTTATTTGGGGGGAAGGGGAAGAGGAGACAATCTGAAGAACCATAGGTTCAGGGGAGCCGAGAGGGCAGAAGAGGCACGAAAGGGACCCTCACCCATGTCATACTGTAGACTGAGCTCGAGTTTGGGCCAGAGCATGATGAGGGCAAAGGAAGCGTAAAAGTGGACATCATATGTGTTGTACATGCGGTACTCCTGGCCTGGAGGAATGAGGGAGACATACTGTTGTCAGAATTCCTGGTTCCGCTTCCCAGCCCCCTACTTAGCTTGTCATCTAGAGTTAGAGGAGAGACACTATCGCTAATCCACACCTGCCATTGACCCCCTCATCCCAACCCATACCCTGGGGTAGGCAAAATCCATCACTTGTTTTTTAGGGCAGTACCTGGCCTGCCCTATACCCCAGGCCACCAGCAGCCCGTACCCTCAAGGTAGCCAAATCGACCATAGTCACGTAGGATGGGGCGCAGCTGACACATGCCCCCTTCCAGCTCCTCCGGGAGGGAGTCCTCAGGAACTTCCAGCCACACTGTGCCTCCATCGGCCACAAAGTATAGTTCATTGAACAGTGCAGATTTGTACCAGGCAGGCAAGGATCTGGAGAGGCAAGAGGAGGGACCTGTTCAGTAAGTATGGCGCTCCCAGGGCAGGAGTCTGGGAGCCAGCACAGTGGGAGCACAAGTGAATCCTAGCACAACGCCAGCGGCCTTGGGGGGCAGACGGTATACCTAGGAGTCCCACCTGGAGTGTAAGTGTGTGGGAGAAAGGCACAAGGTGGGCCCCCTTGGTACCTGTCATCCAGTACTGGGCTCTGCCAGGCGGAGATCCTGTCTTCCCAGTCTGCATATCGGCACAGTGCATAGTGGCTAAGGGCAGGTGCTGCATCACCATCTGGGCCAAAGAACCTTGTGTACCGCCTGGGGCAGAAGCAAAGGGGAGGCATGGAACAGACTGCACGTCAAAGCCCCAGGGCCTGGGATCCTGTGCTTTCTTGGCCCCCTCACCTGTGGTAGACTTGGCCCTTAGCTCCAAACATGATCTTGGGCATGTCCCAAGCCAGTGAAAACTCTAGGCGGCACTGGCCTCGGGGTGGCAGCTTGCTGGAAACACAGACAGCTCCAGCGATGCCCACTCCTTTCTGGGAAGGAGTGCTTTGTCCTGAGAGAAGCATGGGAGGGATCAGCACAGGCACTCCTGACAGCTCCTGGGCTAGGGATCACTAACTTGGGGGCAAGGCCTGTTCATTAGCAGGCCTCCCACCCCGGGTCCCAAAACAGGGACGACCTTTCTTCCCACCACCTCCCTGTCAGACCCCCCATCACCAGCAGGGGAGTCCAGCTGTCCATCCTGAAGTAGATCCTGCCACACCTGCTGCCCAGTGCCGTCAGGGTCAAAGGCTGTGACGTGGGTGACCGTAGTGTCTGCCTGTTGGGGCCAAAGACACCGTAAGGGCAAGCTGCACCGGTGTGCTGACTCTGACTAGCCCTCCGGCTCCTCTGGCTTCCTCTCACCTCCAAGTTCCAGAGGCTGCGAAGGTGGGACTTAAGAAGAGTTGAAGGAATGAAGACAACATGATGGGGGTAGAGGTGAGTTTAGGGAGCAGCCTGACAGCAGAGGGTTCAGGGGTAAGGTTGTGTGTGTGTGTTGGGGGTCTCTTCCATTACCGTGAGGCGCGCAGCCACAGCCATTGTGTAGGGATTCGGAACAGTTGGATGATGTAGCAGCAGCCCCTGGACGGTCTGCCCATCTCGCTCCAGACAGAAGGGCTCATTCCACAGACCCCCTGAGGCATCGTCTCCATCCCCTAGTCCATTCCGCATGGAGAACATGATGGACACATCCAGAGCTTCGTCCCCCTCGTTTTCCACGTCCCACACAAAGACTCCTACAGGCAGGCAGCTGTCCTGGAGGCAGAAGATCGGACTTAGATGGTTCTGGTGTGGCTCCTCCTGGTCCCACTCCTCAGACTCAGTTCTGAGCACAGAAAACCTGATTCAGATACTTTGCAATATACTCCATCTGTCATGCACTTGCATCTCCTCATTTCCCTAGGTAAGCTGCGTAGCAGCGGACACAGAAGACTGGAACCATCTGTGCAGCGATGGTGAAGCCAGTGTGACGTTCCTGGCTCCAGCGACTCCCTTTCACAGGTCATGGGATTTCCAGCAGAGGCAGATCCCAGGGGAGGGAGAGCAATGGAAGGGGCAGAGGCGGAGCCTCACCTGGTAGTCGTGGGGCAGGATGGGTGTGATCTGGCGGCAGGTGAGGGTGACGTTCTGGCCGGGAAGCTGGTAGACAGTCCAGGCTCGGGGATAGAGGGCATGGTAGAAAGCAAAGTACCCACACAGGCCCCAGTTCCAGCTGCGCAGGACACTCGGGCGCTCCAGGGACAGGACTTGCTGGTACACCGTCCTCCCTTCCCGACGCAAGCACACTGTGAACTTAATCAAGATGACAGATAGGCTAGGACAGGGCAACCCACTCTCACCACAAACTGGTCCCTCTCCCCTCTGAGCAGCTCCTCCCCGTCCACCTGTGACTGTTACAGCCTCAAGTCATCCCCCAGACCTCCCACAAGCTCAGTGAGCCACAGCCAAACGCCACTACCCTCCCCCAGCTCTCCCCAGCTATCTTCCTTTCCCTTCTCCACTACTGTGGTGTCAGTGCCTTAATCTAGGCCACACAATCTCTGCCCCCTCTTATCTGAGTAGCAGAGTGATCTTTCTTACAGACGAATCAAGATATGGCAGTCTCTGCCCATGTTTCAGTGACTCCCATGACCCTCAGGTTAAAGTCTAAACTCTTACCTGACTTTCAAAGGCCTTCTTGTCCTGGCCTCTCCCTATCAGCTCATCCCTTGGTCAAGCACCTGTATTCTGGTCA